CTTAAGACAGATACACTAGATTAAAGGGTGCTTAATGACAAGCACAGCAGGAGAGGGGAAAACAGAATCAAAAGCTCCTTCTTTCCCATCAACTTGAATAAGAATTGTTGAGGGAAAAAAATGAAGAAAAATTTGGCAAGCACTTGATGATTTAGCTCTATGAATTTTGATTATTTTCCCCCATATCTGGATATTATAGCAAACAATTTCATGAATAATACTTTATTCAATGTATTCAGGAAACCTTGGAAAGCATTCATGCCACTACAGTGATAATTAATACATGGCTGAGCATTAGCTGCTGCAGTTTAATTTCCAAGGCAGTGTTGACTTTCCACTTGATATACTTTCTCTCTCTTGGGGCATTAGTGTGGCCTCGACTGTCAACAGTAGCTATATGAAGGAGTTCAGGTAACTAAACTACTGTTCCTGTGGGATTACTGCACCGAGACTGGGATTCAGAAAACTGTGAGCAGAGGGAGAAAAATGTATTAATGCTGCAGTGAGAACTCACAAGCTAGCAGAAGACTTTCTGTAGTATTCCCATAAGAGAAATGTAGCAATGATACAAAGCACACCAACTCTATCCAGCTAACAAGATTTTAGGGAAAAAAATTGTTAAGACTTGCAAAAGAGTCTGCTCAAAAATTGGGAGAATGTTGGTGCATCGGGCCTCTACTACAGCCCCTGAAAAGTTTGTAGCCAGTCGTTCTTATCAGTTCATGGAGAAAGACAACTAACTCTTTCCTACTGAACTGGAGTGCAATTGTCTCTTGCCTTCTGCACCCCTAATTTTTCTCTAATGCTACATTAGAACTCTGTGTTTAATCTGCAAAGTTTCAGCACTAACCATTTATTACTCATGCCTTTGAGCATTTCGTTTTTAAAAACCCAACTGCAAAACTGTCATGCAGTAAGCAGCAGTAGCAATAATGATATTTTGAAAATCTCAGAGGGAATGGGTCTTAAGATCTCTTTGAGCAACTCTAACAAAGAGGCCTTTCGTACCCCAGTAAACAATGAACTAACAAGCGCAGTGATCCCGATCAAAAAACATGTGAACCAATCTTCAAATTTAGACAGGCTGGTATGGATGAAAGCAATCCTTGAAATAACTTAGCCCCTAACTGTTTCAAGGTTTTAAGGGTTAAAATGAGCACAAAAAGTCCAATTAAACCAATTAGTGCCTTCCAGCCCTAGCACCACTTGGGGATCAAAATCTGCTTACTCTTCATATAATTTTCAAAGGCACAGCAGTACGTGTGTGCCATGATAACGACAATCAGTTTCACACATCACAGTAAGTCATAACATGGTCCATTTAGCTTTGGCTTAGCATGTTATATAAAGCTATTCATAAACCATACATTTATAAATCATGGTTTATGCTGTCGCCCATGTCTTACTCACTTCCTGTTTGGATTACTGCAATGCGCTGTACATGGGGCTGCCCTTGAAGACCATCCAGAAATTGCAACTGGTCCAGAATGCAGCAGCATGCAGTTTTGGGTGCCCGGTAGTTCACCCAAGTAACACCACTACTGCATTGGCTGTACTGGCTTCCAGTTGCTTTTGGGGTGCAACTCAAGGTGCTGGTTGTCACCTTTAAAGCCCTATATGGCACAGGGCCAGGTTACTTGTGAGACTGCCTCTCCCTGAGGGTATCTGCCCATCCTACTGTGTTAGATAGGGTGGGTGCCCTCTAGGTCCCCTCCCTTTGTGAGACTAGGCTGAAGCT